CACTAGCGCTTACAAATAAAATGTGAAACAAAACATTTGAAAATTCTTTTACTTACCTGTCAACCCAAATTCAGGCTTTTGAGTTTCCTTAGCTGACTGCATCACTAATGCCTAAAGCAGTGCAAGTCTCTACTGCTCTCTGGGACATTGTTAGTGATTAGGAATATGGTTTTTCTTTTTCTTTTTTTTTTTCTTTCAGTCTTGTTGGATACTAACTTCCTGTCCTGAAACTTAATCTGATATCCTATATGAATCAGAACCACAATTTTTGGGGAAAATTTTATTTTTAGTTTAACAGTGAGTGTCTAATAAGCTAAATCAAAACTACACTGTATAGCACGTACTCTACAAAGTTTAGGAAACATGTTCTATCAATATCGCATCAGGTAAAATATAAGCTAAATATTTAATGTATTTGTACCTGTCTTTTAATGCAATTTGACAGTTGGAAACAGACCCCACTCTCCAAGCCGCCAATAAATGTCACCAGTAGCTCTGAAAAATGAGTTCCCCAGTAGTAAAAAGAAAAGGAGGACTTGTGGCACCTTAGAGACTAACCAATTTATTTGAGCATAAGCTTTCGTGAGCTACAGCTCACTTCATCGGATGCTGTAGCTCACGAAAGCTTATGCTCAAATAAATTGGTTAGTCTCTAAGGTGCCACAAGTACTCCTTTCCTTTTTGCGAATACAGACTAACACGGCTGTTACTCTGAAACCTTCCCCAGTAGTGCGTGTATACTGGGAAACAAAGCAGATAACATATAAAAATACATGATCAGTTGCTGGAAAAGGCTGATTCTTCGAGCCTTTAATCTTAAAACTTAATTATTAGTAAATTGTCAAACACTACCCTCTTTACAGCTTCCGAGACAATATCCTTGTTTTTGCTGAGCCACATTTTAATTTCCCTTTGCACACTTACAATTTACAGTAGTTCACTTGAACTGTTGTAGTTTATAACCATGCAATGCCACATGAGCAATTCTAGCTGATGTAAACTTGTCTTATGAGAACACTTGCATTGGTCCCTCCAACTGCTGCCGTACCAGAGCATTGTAGGTATGCATTCCACAGTTGTCAGTGCAAGTCCCTGAAGCAGGGGTTGGTGGGAATACCATTTCACTATTGAAGAGGTGCTGTAACTATTTTAAAAAGTGATTCATATGCATTAACATTTTTAATGTATACAGTAGTATGTATTTTGTAAAATTAAATGTCAGTATTACATTAAAATAGCCTTTATTTTTTAATCCAGAAAAGCTTTAGGATTGAATGCATTGCACTTTATAAAATGGAAAACTATTATTTGATGCATATTTGAAGTTACTGTAGTTCAATATGAATCATCAGGCGTATAGGTGATTGTCACAGTTTTGGGCTAACTAAATCTTTGACCTCTGTGGTCTGCTCAAGGAATCCCCTCTCAGGCCTCTAGCCATCACCATTCTCTGAGCAGGGACACATATCCCTCTCCCTCTTAACCCAGGGGGTTTAGACTTGCAGCCCCCTTGTTTATGTCCACAAGTCTGAGTCCAACACACCTGCTTGTTGCTTTCTCTTCCAGGGCTTTGACCAGTGTATGCCAGTAGTTCCAAGTAGTCAAACAGCTCTTTCAGAGCAGAGTACATTTATTTTAGGATAAAAAACCTTGAAAACATGTAAAACAATAAGAGGATTAAATGCCTGTTAAGTTCACCAGAAGCCCCCACCCCTGCCATCAGTTCTTACAGGAATTGGAATCCCTGATAAGTTCCAAAGTCTTTCAGATCTTTCAGTCAGGCTTTGCCTCTCTTGGTTATCTGGTCATGTCCATTTGTAGCCCAAGAAGCCCCTTATGTCAGTTCAAACTCTGTTTTTATATCCAAACCCTCCTGTTTTTAGTTTCAAAGTCTCCTGAAACATGTACAACCAGTCACTGTCCCTTTCCCCAGGTGGTCAGGCGTCAAACACTGGGTATCTGCATAACCAGCCTTGGGATTTTGCGTTGATCATCCATCGTGATTCCACAGGGAAACCACCTGGTGAGCCAGGAACAGACAAATACTTAGAACATTCACAGACCTTTGTATCATGCGTGCCCATATCACCTGGTCTATCTCAATATAATAGTCTCTGACTTTTTTCATGCTTTCAAGGGCTCACTCAAATATACAGATAACATTCCTAATGTTAGATACAGAGGTCTCGAGATATACCTGTTTGCCATATCTCTCACAGTGATATTGCACATATTGTTTACTGGAGTGCTTGCAGGGGTATTGTGGAACACTGCTAGGAAAATCAGCTCCCATGGTAGAGCTGCAGCATTAGCACTAATGGTATATGCTGTCTCTGCAAAAGTGCTGAGTGACTTGGGGCAGGAGAAGTGATAAGCCTTGTTTCAAATAGGAGCAATTGTGCATTATTGCAAACTGATGTGTGAAGATGTTGCAAGTGTTTGCAATGTCAGAATTCTCAAGTGTAGAACTGACTTCAAAGGGTAGATCCCTGAAAATGTCCTGAGAGAAATTTTGGAAGACTCGTAGAAGTTTCTTTTTACCACTCTTAAGGTTGGGCTTTGACAGCTACAAAGTGTTCCCTCTGTTGCATTTTCACTAATTGGAAGCTGAAAATCTGTTTTTCTACCCATAGTGCTGTAGTCTCCCCTCTTGCTCGCTTCACAGGTGCTAAATAAATGTTTTTCAGTCTGTTACATTTTGGTCTCTCTGGTTCTGGCTTTTCTGCATATTTTCTTCAGCATCTTTTGGGAGGTAAATTCATTTGTAGGAGGTGTTCAATCTGAACTAATTGAATAGCTCTTAAACCTGTAATTCAAAATATAGGAATCTATGTTCTTTCTCTGTGACTAGACTGTCTTAAAATATTTACTTCCCATGGCTCCTCTGCTTTTCACTAGTACTTGCTGTTCAGGTAAACTGTCAGTATTTGAACTCCAAACACCACCACCGCAGGCTTGGTCAGAGCTAACTTCATTCATCAGCTCCTCAGATGGCTCAAACTCTAGAGAATCTCAAATCTACTCAGTGATTTTCTTTTCAGTAAACTGTTTCCATTCTTGATGGATTTTTGTCTCACACAGTATTTTGGTATCAGTCTTATTTTCCAGCAGAAATTCCAAGTGGAATTCTGGTTGGCTATATCTTCAGTTAGTTGTGTAACAGACAGTCCTAACTCACTTTGCACACTGTGCAAATTGGCAACAGTAAAGGTGTATTTGAAATGTCTGACCAATCTCTGGCTGCCCTAATGAATGCCTGTTAGGCCACATCTACACTACCCGCTGGATCAGCGGGTAGCGATCGATCTATCGGGGATCGATTTATCATGTCTAGTGTAGACGTGATAAATCGATCCCAGATCACTCTGCTGTTGACTCCGTAACTCGACCAGGATGAGAGGCGGAAGCAGAGTCGACGGGGGAACGATGGCCGTCGATCTCGCGCCGCGAGGACGCGAAGTAAGTGATTCTAAGTCTGTCTAGGATACGTCGACTTCAGCTATGCTGTTCTCGTAGCTGAAGTTGCATAGCTTAGATGGATTTCTTCCCTCTTCCCCCCTTTTCCCCCACTCCCTCCCAGTGTAGACCAGGCCTTATACTAGTACACCCGTGAAGCAGAGCAGCAGGTTATGGGTAAAGTATCCTAAGGTATATGCTTTATTTGACTAAAAACTTTTGTTAGCATCCATGGGGTGCTCCAAGAGAATGACACACTCTCTGCCAATCTGCCACTTACTGGACTTTCCCAAAAATACCTCTGAAATGACAGTTCCCTGTGTTGCTTTTGAAAAACTCCCAGTGAAGCGTAACTTCTTGTGAACATGTTAATTATCAAACATACTGACCCCAGGAGAGTGTTGCTTTGTGTCATCATTTGTTTGGTGTCAGCAGAATGCTTGGTGCTACACAGCAACTTTAATATGGTGCCTTCAAGAACACTTCGCAGTAAAATAGCAGTTAGTTGTTAGGGGTAACACTATTTGTGCTCAAGTGGTTTTGAGTCAGAAAGCATAAATCCTGTACCATTGCAATAGGTTGGCTGTCAGTGGCCATATAAGGAAGGTTAATTTATTTTAAAATAAAAATTAAGAACAGAGAATTTACCATTTTTTTTGTAGACGCAAACCAAGCTTATGGTGTGTATCACAAGATCAGTAATTTTATGAAAGTGTTCATCCTTTCAGAAGAGAACATTGCTTTATCTTAATTCCTTACTGCAATGTTAGAAGAAGCAGGCTTCGGATAAAGCATACATCTCCATAAGCATGCCAGTACTGTATTACCAGGGATCGCATAGTGTGCTCCTTAGTAAAGAGTTAACCTGCTCATGACAAAACCTAAAAGCTACAAAGTGTTCCAACTAGTTCATGTATTTCATATCAGAAAGTGGTCAAGTGTCCTAACTATTGGTAGCATTTATGTCTTACAAAATAACTTATAAAATTTACTTTTAACCAAGTTTATGAAGAACAAACCTTTAGAGCATGGAGATACAAATCATTATTTTTTAAATATGAGACTGGCTAAATTAAACCATAGAGGTTTGGTTTAGTGAAGTTAATTGAAATCTAAACTGGAAAAATTAAGTGTCTTTCTTGGGGTGTAAATCTGTGCTTGAATGATCAGCTGCCTGATGTGGAAATGCCCTTTTAAAGTGGAACGTATGGTTCCTGAGGTTAAAACCTGTAACTGAGGAAATCAGCATGGTCTAGTGATTACAGTAGCAGCAGGACTAGGAGTCGGAATACCATTAATTCATTTCCTACTGAAACTTTGCACTAGTCAATTGTGTGACTCCGAGCAAATAACTTTGTGCATCAGTGTAACCCAGATATAAAAGAAGTGTATTGCCTGCCTCATTGAAGTGTTAAAGCTTCATTTATTTTAAAGCACTTTGATCCGGTAAAAGTGAAAACTTTGATTTCAGACATTTGAAAACTAGAGCTTAATGCTTCAGATCTGTGATGCAAATATTTAACTTTGGGTTTGTTCCTTTTTAGGAAAAGTTCGATGGCAAGATTTTGATCAAGACAGTTATGTTGGTGTCACTATGGTCCGATCTGGTCAAGACCCATACGCTCGTAATAAGTTCAATCAAGTAGAAAGTGACAAACTGCAAATGGACAGAAACATACCTGATACCAGGCATGATCAGTAAGTGCCAAACTCAGCAGTTGTTGAGTTAATCAGTTACTCTTAATTTATGGCTCTTGAGTTGCATAGGTCTCTTCTATACCCTGCACGGTTGTGTCTAAACTGCCAAAAATGAGAATTTCCTGGCCCAAGCACCTGGACTGATGCTACGACTTGAGTTTTAAACATGATAAAAAATGTTTAAGCTTGCCTGCACTTTGTCTACTGTACAGTTTCTACTTTTCTTATCACCAGTTGAACTGGTGGTGAATTACATGTCTTGTTTTTGCTAGTGTTGACAAAGACCTGGTGGCCGTTCTGTAGTGTGTGTGTGTGTCTAGTGCTTTGCTATTACTGGATCCCAGGCAGAATAAGCAAAATGCCAAAAACTGTAGCCCTTCTGTTGCAGGTTGCCTGCGATGATTCAGGAAGAGTCATGAACTGTCTGAAGCTCAAATCCCGTCCTGAGTAGCTGGGCTATGCCTCATGGAATTCCTTCAGGTCTGGGGGTTGATAGAATCCACACGTGTATACCTACTCTTGCTCTTTGAGCAGTACTCCAGCCTCAGGCTATGGTAGCTTCCACACTGCTTGTGCCCCAAAATACACCGGCTGAACATTCAGTGGATTCACAAAGCAGTGGGACGACTGGGTATCAGTGTACAGGAATATAACAGAGCTCCATGACATGTCGTGAGTGCACATGTAGTGAGCAGCTCACCTGCACATGAGTTAGTATAAGGAAGAGGGCACACTTGTTTGCCCCAAGAGGTGTGAACTACCTCAATTTATGTGAGTGGGGTGTTAACTTTGAAGTCTGTGGGTATGCATACGCTACGGAGACAATACTGGCGTAGCTACAGCACCATAGCTATGCTGGCATAACCCCATGGTGTGTAGACGCACTAACAGCAATGGAAGGGGTTTTTCTGTCACTGTAGAAATGTCACCACTTAAAGCGATGGTAGCTAGGTTGACGGAAGCAGTTCTCTATCTATGTAGCTGCATCTACACTGGGGGTTAAGTTGGTGTAGCTATGTCAGTTGGGTATGGATTTTTTTTTTCATATCCTTGATGGCTGTAGCTATGTTGACCTAAATTTTAAACCCAAACCAGTCCTGTGTGTCTCTAGACGTGATAGAGACTATTCAAAGAAACTGTGATCCATTGCTGATAGTGGTAGTCAGGTTCCCTCTGAACTGATACTGAAAATGGCTTAACTAACAGTTTAGATGGGAGAAAACCACTTTCATTATCAGTTTAGGGAGATTCTTTGCTGACAATGGATTGCAATGTAGATTGTGGGGGTGGGGGGAGAAATATGTGTCGTCTTTAGCTTTTTTGAGCATTAAAACTATACTTTTGGAATGTCTACGAGACTTCGAGCATTTCCCTCTTGCCCATTTTAACCTTGTGTGAACCTTGAGCACTGGGGACACGTAGGCTAAATCTTCTGACTTGTTACCCACTGGATGACTTATCAAGGGTTGCATTATTCATGATACTACAAAACCCAGTATTATGTCTTATTGCAAAGTCACTGGATAAGGATATGATTCTTCAGCTGTTAAAGATTAGCTAGTTACATAGTATTGTAGACAAAGAAACCTTATTTTTAATATGTATACGTAGGTGTGGAAACTAGGCGTGCGGGGAGTGCTCCAGCACCCCCAGGTTTTATGTGGGGCCACTGGCCCCGCACTCAGGCCTCCACTGCCCCGCCCAGGGCTTGGGTCCTGGCCACCAGCCCTGTTGCCTGGCTGCTGGCCCCACGCCCAGGGCTCCGGGCCGGGGCCCCACTTCCAGCCTGTGGCCCCAAGCCTGGGACTCTGCTTCCCGGCCCTGCACCTGGGGTTCGAGTCCAAGCCTCTGGCCCTGTACCCCTGGCTCTGGTCCTGGCTGCTGGCCCTGTACCCAGAGCCTGGGGCTCTGCTCTTGGGGCACTAGCTTCACTCACTGGCCCTGTGCCTGGGGCCCTGCACCCAGCCCCCGGCTCCTGGGGTCCCAGCCTTTAGCCTCACTCCCGGGGCTCCACTTCTGACTCTGCATGTGGCGTCCCGTCTGTGGGCTCATGCTTGGGGCTCTGCTCCTGGCCCTGTGCCCACCCCCAGCCTTTCCCTCTTACCCCTGTTTGGGGTCGTGTCTCGTCTCTCCCACCCCCTCTCCCCCCCGAGACACGGCATTGCTCCCGGCTGCAGCTGAGGGGGTTGCGGATAGGAGTAAGGTGCTGGATTTCAGTGCCCCCACTGTTATAAGGGTTCCAGCACCACTGTATGTATATCAAAATGGTGTGCGTAGACCTCCAAGTGTAAGGCTGTAAATTACACTCAAAATTGAAAGTGGCTCCCAGAGTCCCTTGTCATACATAAACTTGCTTCAGTGTTGGTGTTTACACTTAATATTTCCATAAAACTATCTTGGTGTAGTGAAATGAAGAGTTGCTGTGTGGGATACTGATTTATCAGATGAACATATTTGTGTGATCAAATCACATAAGCTCAGGATTTGTCTTTTTGTTTCATGTGAAGCTGAGCAGCATAAAGTCATGCTATTGGTAGTGAATGGTATTCGTGCTCGATGATGGAAAAGCTGTTTAGTTTCTGTGAAGTAAAGAGCACTTTAGCATGAAGATTGCTTTGTCGTCACTATTTTTTTTTCTTCTGGAGTTCAGTTTATAGGAAGAGGTTACGTGAGTAACTAGTGAGTTCTCATTACCAGCTGTTCTTGGTAATTACAACATTCTGGACAGTAGCTGACCTGGCATTTCAGTGAGTTGCACATTATGACCCTAATTTAGCAACCACCTATGCTCCCCTGGACATCAAGAGCGATTATTCTAAAAAGTGAAAGAGCAGAAAAAGGGATTGATTTCTTTAAAGGGAGGAGTTGGCATTTAACACAGAATTCTAGAATGACAAATGAGTCAGGTACTCAGCCTTTCTGATCCAGCCCTTCTCCCCCCCCTCAGTGCTGTTAAATGGCCAGGAAAGAATGCTGGAGAACCCACACTGGTGTCTGGGGCATACCTAGAACACATTTAGTAAATGGAATAATGAAATCCAATTGGCTGATAGATTGAAGAGGCTAAACTTACAGGAGCCCAACCAAAACCGAAAAACAAGTCTTTTTTTCCCCCTTCCCTCCTTGAGGGCTGGGTGATAAGAAAGGATGGTTACAATTGTAAATTGTTTTGTCTTTTCCTTACTTCAGGCTGCACATAGTCTTATAAATATTTTAATGTTCTGTTTCAGAGTAGCAGCCGTGTTAGTCTGTATCTGCAAAAAGGAAAGGAGTACTTGTGGCACCTTAAAGACTAACAATTTGTTAGTCTCTAAGGTGCCACAAGTACTACTTCTCTTAATGTTCTGTGGTTTCTTTCAGAATGTGCCAAAAGAAATGTTTGGATCAGAGGGTGTCCTCAGCTGTTTGTGATCATGGATTATTAGAATGAACATATAAATTTGAGAATTAACTTACTTTGTACCCCTATAACTACAGAAAAAATAGATTTATCCTTTTACTTTCTACAGGTATAGTTATATTGTGTGTCCTTAATTAAATTGTGTTCCATTTTCAGAATGCCTTTTGAGTTCACATGGCATAAATCAGGGGTTCTCAAAATTGGGGTCAGGACCCCTCGGGGGTTGTGAAGTTATTACATGGGCGGTCATGAGCTGTCAGCCTCCACCCCAAACCCAACTTTGCCTCCAGCATTTATAATGGTGTTAAATATGTAAAGAAGTCTTTTTAATTTAAAAAGATGGTTGCACACAGAGGCTTGCTATGTAAAAGGGGTCACCAGTACAAAAGTTTGAGAACCACTGGCATAAATCTGTGTTTGCGTCAATTTTTTCTAATAAAGTCTGTTATAGTGGCCACCTATCCCAATACTTGAGTTAGATTTGTCTTTGAAAAAATGATGTTTTTAATACATCTGTGCTTTCCACTAATAATACAGCTTTTTGGGGTAGCTGAGTAGTGTAATGGAATTGAGCTCCACCTATTAAAAAAAGGAGGCGACAAAAAATAGTCCTTTTGGAGACTATTAGAAAGGCAGAATAATTGCCGAAAACAGAAGTAGCTCTCTTGCGGTGTCTAGCCCTTTGCCCTGCAAACTCTTGTCAGTCCATTGGCTTATAAGATAGATGACATGTGGTTGCTTTACAGCTGCTGACCTATTGATGGTCTTGTGACTTAGGCTTGGTCTACACTAGACTTGGATTGACATAGGCTGCCTTATGTCGACCTGGGGCATGCACAAGGGGGACAAGTTGGGACATGCCCCCCCCCCCCCCCCGAATTAATTGGCAGAGGCACAGAACTCCTCCAGCCCCGGTGCTGTGGCGGCGGCACAAAACCTGCCCCTCCAAAAGCAGTGAAATTTAAATTCCTTTGCACGCTCCTGTGTCAACCTAACTATGTAAGCGTCTACACTGCAGCGTTGCTTCTGCCAGCGTAAGTTGCCCACTACACCCACCTAATAACTCTCCCACCACGAGAGGGTAGAGCTTAGGTTGATGTAGATAGGGCGGCACAGTGTCTGTGTAGACACTGCGTTATACTTTAAATCATCTGTTGGCTGCCAGCCCTGCGTGGGGCTTATAGCTGGAGCCCACCCACGCCAGGGGTCCCAGCTGGAGCGGTCTGGTGATGGGGCTGACAGCTGTGAGCCCCAGGGCGGGAGGGGGCGGGGGGCATATAGTTCAGACTGTGGGCCCTGGGAGGGGAGTGCCCCACAATGCCCCACACAGTTAAGTCTGTGGAGATGCTCCCAGTGAGGACGTGCACCACCAACAGAGAGGGTGTAGTGTGGCCGTGAGCAGCAGTGGCTGTACGTCAACCTTCGGCTATGTCTGTTAGCACTTTTGTCAGTAAAGTTTGTCACTCGGGGGTGTGGAAAAAACCACACACACGCACCCCCAGAGCGACATAAGTTACACCAACAGAAGTGCTGGTGTGGATAGCACTATGTCAGTGGGAGATGCTCTCCTGCCGATATACCTACAGCCGCTCATTGAAGG